AAAGTCAGCAAAACAAAATTATTAACTCATAATATTTTATAATAAAAATTTGAAGCCTTCTTGTTTTTTTTAAAATAATTGTTTTTAATCTTATCAGATTTTAAAACTTCTCTTTTAGTTTCTTAAATAAATACAACGAAAAAAGAATGAAATTAGAGCTGATAAAAGCAAAAAGCAATTACTGAGTCTCAGTTTTGATAAAAAGCGGAAAAGGCACACAAACAACAATACGAATTGTTTTTCTGCACAAACATAAAACATTTATGTGTTGGAACTGTTTCATCAAAGAATTTCCATTCTTTTCTGTTTCGTTTGAGTCAGAAAAAAATGAAAAAAAAAAAAAAAATTTGTGAAACTTTGTTGCCAGAAAGTAAAAGTTTATATGAAAGTGGTAACATCAAAATTTTTGAACAATAGCCGTGACTAGACCAGATTTTTTCAACTGCCTGATAAAGCTATTTTTTACTTGTTTTGGGCAAAAGTAGGCAAAAGAATATCTATACCACAAAAATTTGTTTTAATAGTTTTTAAAATAACCTAAGAAAAAGCAGCAGTGCTGAGCTGTAAAAGAACTAAGAACACTGTCGTCTTTGCTATTTGCAGTATACTATAATTTCTGTACTTTTCACATTATTAGGTTGACCCAAAAAAGAAAAAAAAAAGAACTGTTGATTTTGGAAATTGTAAACGTTCGAATTATCAAACAAAAGCAGGTTTAAAAAAGAAAAAAGCTGTTTATATCAAACTAATAAAGACATTATTTGTCGCTTGCATTTTTTTTTTTTAAATTTTTATATTTTGTTTTAAAACATTTTTTCTGTGGTGCAGAATGAAGAATTTTTTTATTGGTCATATTTTATTCGTGGTAAAAAAAAAAAACTTGTGAGATATTTGTGAGAGTGGTGCAGTGTTTACAAATTTTTCTTTTTTTTTTTTGTTAAACAACTGGCCCTTAGAAATTTGTAAAAACAGTTGAATCTATAGAAATTAGCCATTATTAAAACAAGCTATATTCTACTAAAAAACAAATTTTTAGAACATTTTTTAAAATTGACGCAAAAGAAATCAGTCCCAGCATAGTTCAGAAATGTTTACTTTTAAACACTCAGTGAAAGAGCATTTATTTTTGGAGAAAAACCAAAGTTGAAAAAGTGAATGTAATAAACGCTATTAAAAGTTATTGAACCGTAGCGCGCAATAAATTTCTGATAGTACTAAATTGTTTTTTAATGAATTACAAAAGATTCTAAACATGGAGGTTATTTGTGATAAAAATGGGCTTTGTACAGTAATCAAAAAAAGAAAGAGATGAGCTGTCAACAAATATCAACCACTTTTCAATCAAGTGACGACCTTAGACTTTCATTAGTTTAAAGCAAGAAGCACAGTCATGTGGAACGCTCTTTGAGTACACTACTTAAACTATTCAGATATTGGTAAAGATAAGACTGCAAAAAAAAACTAGTCAGAATCAGAGAATATGAATAATAAATTGAAAGAACAAAGTTTAAGACTTTCATAAACTTGAGAAGTGCTACCACTAAACGCCACTGTTTTCAAAATCTGTGATAGGAATTAAGACAACGAGACATGACTTCTTCTGCATAGCTGTTCTGCAAATTGCTAAAATAAAAAACAAAAGTCAATAGATTTTTTCAATAGACTAAGCTAATACTAAAAATGTTTTTCTTCTCTCTGTCCCCTTTTGCTGCTAAGCCACTTGAAACTCGGGTTTTAGAAGCAAAGCAAATTGGGTTTCCATACTGCTTTTCCTACCCCTTAAACTACGATTTGAAGAAAAGTCCTTCTACTATCAAAGATTAACGAAGATGAAGAACAACTGCAACATAAGCATTTGTTTACAGTAATCAACCTTTTCTAGATTATAAACTTTAAGGATAAATTTTATTGTCTTGGATAGAGGAAATTTACCGTATCAATGCAGCAAACTTTTAAATTCATTTACGTTGTCTGTCTCTTCTTCCAGATCAGTAATTGTTCTACACGAAAATGCCCAAAATTTTTTAAAAAAGTGCCTCGTATACACTTTTTACACTTTCATCAGCGTAATTGAGAAAAAATACAGTGTCAAGAACATCATGAAACTCGATGTGTAATGTACTAATAAGATCCTGCGTTATCAAAACCGACACAGTAGAAAAAAATTTAAATAAAAAAGATAGTAAAGAAAAAAGGAGTATTGTACTTTTTACCACTGGTGATATTTGAAGTTTTTCAGAGAATGCAACCAATTCAAGCATCATTTGTCTATCGCAAAGAAAACTTAGAACGAAGTCCAAAAATAACGGATTTTTTCGCGTGGATACCGTCATATACGTAAAAAAAAAAAAAAAAAAAAAAAAAAAAAAAAAA